GAGAAGAACAAGGACCCCCTGAACGAAACTGTCATTGGGTTGTACCAAAAGTCATCTGTGAAGACACTGGCCTTACTGTTTGCCACATACGGTGGAGAAGCTGGTAAATTTTCCACAATCAATTTTTTCATATGCGCATAGAGTTTGAAGCAGAATCTTAAAGGCAATGCTAAAGATTTCTGATCTTATTATTTCTTTTGATTTTCAGAGGGTGGTTCCAAAAAGGGTGGCAAGAAGAAGGGTTCTTCTTTCCAGACAGTCTCCGCTCTTTTCCGCGTAAGTACCAAACTTACCTTTTTCACGGAAGGACAGCAAACTCATTCTGGATCTGAAATGTGTGTTTCAGTTTTGGACATTAATCTTATCATCCTTGCAGAATCAGAAAGAGGCACTAGAAATACCAGGAAAGCTGTACCTCAATGTGTGTCTGGTCTTCTTATTGAAGGAGATAGATTGATATCGTTCAGCCTCCTGAAACAATCTAGGCAATTGCCTTGTTCCTTTTTCTCTAATTAGCTACAGATATTGCATCCTTGGCTGATTTATCGCAACTGTCTCCTTCAGTTTTGCTCTTATCTTTTCTGGATTCAATAGAAATTGCAAAAGGGTAAAGTTCACCAACTTAGATTTAGAATAAATAATCGTAGAATCATAGAATCACCAAAGTTGGAAAAGACCTCCAAGATCATCCATCCCAATCATCCATCTATCATCAGTATTTCCCCACTAAACCATGTCATTTAGAACACCATCTAAAAGTTTCTTGGACACAACACTGACTCCACCACCTCCCTGGGCAGCCCATTCCAGTGCCTGACCACTGTTTCAGAGAAGAAATTTTACTTGATGTCCAACCTGAACCTCCCCTGGGTACAACTTGAGGCCATTCCATCTTGTCCTCTCACTAGTTACTCAGGAGAAGAGGTTGACCCTCACCTCACTACAGCCTCCCCTTCTGGTAGCTGCAGAGTGAATAATATCTCCCCCGAGCCTCCTCTTCTCCAGACTAAATAATCCCAGTTCCTCAGCTGCTCCCCATTAGACTTGTGCTCCAGACCCCTCACAGCTTCATTGCCCTTCTCTGGATGTACTCCAGGGCCACAATTTCTTCCTTGTAGTGAGGGGTCCAAAACTGAAAACAGTATTCAAGGTGCAGCCTCACCAATGATGAGTACAGGGGATGATCACCTCCTGCTCCTGCTGGCTACACCGTTTCTGATACAAGTCAGGATGCCATTGGCCTTCTTGGCCACCTGGGCATGCTGCTGGCTCATGTTCAGCTGAACATCGACCAACACCCCCAGGTCTTCTTCCTCTGCACAGTCTCCCAGTCACTCTGTCCCAAGCCTGTCTCTTCCAATGCAAAACTGTTCTGTTTCTATTCTGTGAAATCTACTACCACATAAAAATGTAGTCAGGCTTAGCCTGACAAAACCAGGTGTCTGCAGTTTCCCAGTTTCCCTCTAGGAGCTCTGCAATATGCTGTAGGAAAGATAAGTCTGTATCCTGAAACATTCAGTTTGATAAATCCACTATTAAGTGGACAACAATTAATAATAATTAATCTCATACATTCACAGGAGAATTTAAACAAGTTGATGACAAACCTGAGAAGCACTCACCCCCATTTTGTACGCTGCATCATCCCAAATGAAACAAAAACACCTGGTAAGGAGATACAGTGGGTAAAATTAGAACTGCAGAAGCTCTTAGGTTGAGTGTCAAACAGTGGGGTAGTCACTAATTGTGGTGTTTGTTAGGTGCCATGGAACATGAGCTGGTGCTGCACCAGCTGAGATGCAATGGTGTGCTCGAGGGCATCAGGATTTGCAGGAAAGGATTCCCCAGCAGAGTCCTATATGCTGACTTCAAACAGAGGTAAGAGTGGTACCACTTGCTGTCCATTCAGAACGAAGTGAATAGCCTGGATGTTGAAATGCACTTGAAACATACACGTTACACTGGTATTGAAGTAATATGTAAATGCTTCTCTGTCAGATCATGATGACATGGCCAAAGATTAGGATTACTTTGGACTCTGAACTAACAGTAAAAATATTCTCCGTATCCCACTCTCAAAGGTTGAATTGGCTTCCAGCATTAGACTAATTCAAAGAGACAGTCTGAGAAGACTGGGGTTCAATTGTACTGGGGGTTTCAATAACAGGTATTTCTTCATATCTTGTTTCCTCCTACAGATACAGAGTGCTTAATGCGAGTGCTATCCCAGAAGGACAATTTATGGATAGCAAGAAGGCTTCTGAGAAGCTCCTTGGATCCATTGATGTGGACCACACCCAGTACAGATTTGGTCACACCAAGGTATGAACAAGTCTTGTGTTCAAAGAGAGAGCAATAAGATCTGGTTGCTTCTGAGGGTCAGGGAGTGCAGTGCAGTGCAGTAACACAGCTGGCAGCTCAGGTGCCTCAGCCAAAAAAGATCTAAGCACACAGTACTTTGGCAAGGCAAGTGAAGAAGACCAACCAAGGACAGATTCAACTAAGAGTCCAAATCATCCAGTAGGTTTGTGACAACAATAAAGGTGTGAGGTGAAGACTCAACAAGAAACTCTTGTTTTAAAGGTTGATTGTGGCCAGGTCTAGGTAGGATACCAAGGATCAGGCACAACTCAGTAATTTCCTGATCAATGAAACAGGTCTAACATTAAGTCAGGAAGAAGAGTTCACTGTGGTCCACAGCCAGGCTGAGTGGGAAACCAAAATTGTAATAAGATGATTCAGGCAGGGACTGAAGGTCTAGGGCTGAGCTATCAAGAAGCTCCTAGACACAGTGGAAAAATGATGTGGGAAGGAAGCCAAGGTTAGGCTGGTCATGATCATTAATGTCTCCTTCTGAAAGCTGAAAGCCTGTTGTCTCTGGATTATGGCTTACCCGACAGTTATGTGCTGCAACATTTTATTTTCAAGGTGTTCTTCAAAGCTGGGCTGCTGGGACTCCTGGAGGAGATGAGAGACGATAAGCTGGCTGAAATCATCACTCGCACACAAGCCAGATGCAGGGGCTTCCTGATGAGAGTGGAGTACCAGAGGATGGTGGAGAGGAGGTAAATATGCATATTTAGTTTATTCTCATGGTGCTTGGTTAATTGAGTTTAAAATTTTCACACTCAAGGTATGTAATCACTACATGAACTGTATTTTAGGGAGTCCATCTTCTGCATCCAGTATAACGTTCGTGCATTCATGAATGTCAAGCACTGGCCCTGGATGAAGCTGTTCTTCAAAATCAAACCCCTGCTGAAGAGTGCAGAGTCTGAAAAGGAGATGGCAAACATGAAACAAGAGTTTGAGAAGACCAAGGAAGAGCTTGCAAAGTCTGAGGCAAAGAGGAAGGAGCTGGAGGAGAAAATGGTTGTCCTATTGCAGGAGAAAAATGATCTGCAGCTCCAAGTGCAGGCGGTGAATATCATTGCTTATTTGTCCCTTGGATAAAGTGTTACACAGGCAGACTGCTTTTTTCCTCCAGGCAGAGACTTGTAGGAAGATAACTAATTTACAATAGGAAAAGAAGTCACACACTTAGAGTTACTGGAAGGTTGAATAAATGGACAGTGGCAGGGGTGCCCCCTATCAGCCAGTGAAGTAACCTGGCAATGCCAAATAAACTTGATGGCTCTTCTGTCCTAAGGAGAGAGACTTGTAGCACTAATCAATTGTAAAAAGTAGCAAACAAATCTGTCTGAACTGGATAGGAAGAATCTCCATCAGTTCAGCCTTCAAAGCAATGCTCTTATGCAATAGAGTAAAAGCAACCATGAGAAGGACCCATTTTTCCTAATCACAAATGTACCATAATGACTAGATTGCTAGATATTTGACATTCAGCTATCAATCAGGAGTCAGTTTCTTCATTCCAAAAAAAACACCAACTTCTCTAGTTCATTATTCTCACAAATAAAAACACCTAATTCCCCAATATTATATTAAACAAAACAAAACAAAACAGAAGCATTTAAATATTGTGTCTGTGGGAGAAAAAAAAAAAAAAACAACAACAAAAAAACAGAACTTCAAAACATTATAACTCACAAAAATCTGTGTCTCCTCATAGGAAGCAGATAGCTTGGCTGACGCTGAGGAAAGATGTGACCAGCTCATCAAAACCAAAATCCAGCTGGA